GCTGGCTGCCTCATGTTCTGCAGAGACTAAAAATTAATTACTTGTTTTAAAGTATTTAAACAGAGTTGGAAGCTGCACATATGTATGAGTTTGGTTAGGTGTATTTTTGATGCCTTGGGGTTCCTTGTGTGTACTCTGTGGGCTGTTGTCCTGCCCCTGCTGTCTCCTGACATCTCTGCAATTCCTCCCATGACTCTGTACTGCTCTTTGCTGCCTGCCCCTCACCCTACCATGGGTGCTGTGCACCCAGTGAGGGGCTCAGGCCACACCAGGATTTCCCCTGGGCCACAGCCCCTGTTCCCTGGCCACCCCATTCCCTCATGGAGCTGCTGCTCCCAGGGAAGGTGCATGCACAACTGCTGGAGGGTTGTTGGCTGCCCTGGCTGCTTGTTGGATCTTCAGGAAACTCAATGTGTTTGACATGCAGCTGTGCAGTTGGATGAAAGAACTGAAACTTTTGACAATTATAGGTTTTGCTTTTTCTTATTTTCCAAATCTAATTACCAATATCTATTTTTTTGGCTGTTGTGACTTGATAGGTTCCTTTTTGAACTTGGTAGAGTTAATAAACATAAAGTGATGTAAAACTCACTGCTTATGCAGAGTACTCCAGTACAGAAGGATTTTTCACAGTGGTTTTACTCTAAACAGTACAGCCCTGTGGGGATGATTTGTCTGATTTATATTGTCTTTGTGTACAGCAGCATCTAGACTGGAATTTTTGATTTTTTCTTTTGTGCCTGATCTTTGGTAGCATCTCTAAATTTAGAACCTTTTTTTTTTACCACATTAAAAAACCTTAAAGTGAAAAGTATGTAATGTGTTAATTAGGGCTTTGGGAGGGGAGCTCCTAATCTTTTGCAAGGCAATTCTGTTGGAAGGGGAGTAAGGGACTTCAAGAACTTCAATTAAACATGTACATTTTCTGAAAAATCTGAAGTAATTGAGAGCTGAGAACAGAGTGTTGGATAATGGGATCTCTGGGTCAGACTGAGCCTTAGAAGTCTGATGCTGCACAGCTTGTCTCTAGAGACAGGGCAGGAAAAGCTGGGGCCTGTTTTGCTCTCTGACAAGAAATCTCCCAGAGGAATTGCAAGAAATAAAATACATTTTTAATCTATTATGCTAGTGGTTCAGCTGTTGTTCCTTTGTTTCAGCTTTGAAGGCCAAACACTACATATATATATATCATTTCTAAAATGATGGATTCCTCCAGTGCTGTGTCATTGTGTGTTATTGTCTCCCCAGAACCACCAGGGTGTTGGTTTGCCCTGCCCTGCTGGCCCTGTAGGAATGTTCTGGGGATGCTCCCATGCTCCAGGGAGGCTGGGTGGGTGCTGTGGCAGCACCTGGTGTGGGTGATCCACCCCATGCAAAGACTGCAAATGTGGGGTGACCTGCAGGAGCCATTTCTGTGCCAGTAGCTGGGTAGTTTATTTGTGGAGACTCATACATCCATGAGAGTTTCTTGTAGTCTGAGCACTCGAGGTTTTTCAAAAGAGACATTCTGCAGTTGGTGAGAAGGGTCATTTTTGAGAAATTACCTGTCTTCTGTGTCTGTGAGTGCCGAGGCTTATTACATCTTGCTTCTGAAATGCTCTAAAAATTCTGACTTTATCTACAGCCTTAATTGCTGCCCATTAAGACCTCCCTGATCCAGACTGAACAGCAATGGAGATGGATGGAAGGGCTGATTTGCTGAGAGGGCTTCAGCCATTGTGGAAGGCATCAGGTCATGGCAGTACATTAAGAATAACCAAGTTTAAAGATAAGAGTTACTTAAAATTAGCAATTGAATAAATTTCTGGGAATGTTAGAAGATGTTAACACAAATAATGGATTTTTCTGCACTGGGGTTAGAATGAGAGTAAAAAGGGAAGGCACTTCAGAAAGCACTGCACTCTGCCTTCTGCAGAAATAGTGGATGTACATAGTAAATGTGAGCTAACTGCAGTCTGAGGGTGCATGGAGGAGGCTTGTTGTGCTTACAGTGCTGTGGGATCACAAGTGCAAATATCACTTTATTACCATGCACTACCAAGCATCAAGTGGAGCAATTCTGTGTGCCTGACATGTGGCTGCTGGCATTGTGTCACAGACAGGCTCTGTTTGTCCCCTGCCACACATTGGCTGTGCACAACTGCTGGTGTAGAGTTAATAAAAAATGATAAAAATCCAACCAAATGTGTGTGTGTGATATCTGATAGAAAAGGAATGGAAGACAAAAAAAAGAGAAAGGTTTTAAGAGTCATGTGGAAGGACTTGGACCAGCCTTCAGCCTGGACATGTTTTTTAACTCCATATTTTTTTAGAACCTGATAAACCATACTTTCCCCCACAGAACAGTTACTGGAATTGGAAGGTTTTATCCCTCATTCCATGAGGTTGCAAGTATAAAAGCATTACCTTAGGGATGTGTCTGATGCTCTCTGAGCTAAAGCACACAAGCACGTAATCCCCAGTACCTTGGAGATTAATGCTTAAGTGAGGAGTTAGTGGTGCCAGAAGAGGGCTTTCTGTGGGGCTGTGCTAAGTGTCACCAAATACAGTTTCAGGATCTCAGACAGAAGCATTGGAGCTGCTAATTGCACTGGGGGTGTTTTCTAAGTGGCAGATGAGACTTGAGACACTCAGGCTGATTGCTCTGTCATGCAGCCAGACACAGCACAGGGCTGTTATCCTACAGGGATGCCAGTAACTCCTCTGTGACTGATAGATGGGGGAACACTCCTCTGACCCTGGCATTTCCAAAAATATTGACTTGTCTTTTCTGTTTATTGGTGCAAAAATCAATTCAAGTTGTGGGGCTTTTAATGATAGTTGAATGGATGCAAGTTCTTTCCATCTTGCTTTTGTCCTCTCCATGCAGTTTGCCTCATCTCTGCATTAAAAGCAGATGAAAAGACTGGAATTTCGAATGGCTTTTGCAGTAAGTCACAAGTGCATGTCTAGACTCCTTAGACAATTTTTATGTTTTCTCACTAGCATGTAGGGTGAGAGTTTCTCTTTAGTAAACTAGTTACACAGCCAGCTCAAGTATAACAGTTTTCCTATTCTGAGAGTTTTACAAGCTATGTTAAAACTCTATCTTAACTTGGTGTGTCTGTGCTGAGACCTTCATGGTCCCTTCTCAGTTCTCATCCTTAGGAAGTTCTTTCATCTTGTATTTACATAGCCAATGTACATATTTTTAATTTTTTGAGGAAGATGGAGTGAGACTAAATTGGCTCCTTAGCTCCTCCCCTGAATGAAAACTCCTGTCTATTTGTCTATCTCCTTATTTCCCAAAGTGACAGGTGTACCTACAAAATGTGAATCACTTACCTGTTGCTCCTGCTAACAGCCTGAGACCTCTTAGTGGTGTCCTAGTCCCAAATGGCAGCAGCAGCAAACCTTTTCTCGACACATTCAAGTGGCCAAAGTAATGGCCTAAGCAATGTGTGCTGTTCTGTGTCTTCCCAGCTCTGGAGGGCTGGGTGTCACCTTTTAGAAGAGCAAAAACAAGAAAGAAACATGTTGGGGGGGGGGGGGGGGGGGGGGGGGGTACATCTAATGAAATCATCTAGCTACCAAATCCAGAGACAGAATGAAATTTCATGCTAAACAAAATTGTGGGAATCCAGAGCTTCCCTCTGGCTGCCCTGGCAGGTCTGGGACCCTGGCAGGGGGTCAGGAACCCCCTGTACAGAGCCGCAGAGACACTGTCTGTGATCTCTGGCCATGGAAAAGAGTTTTCAATCTTACAGGATGAATTACCAGCTCTGAGTGTTTGATATAAATAATAATTAAGTGTGGCACAGAAGCAAAAGTAAAATTTTAGGATTCTAGATTAGGGGTCCAAAGGGGACAAGATGGAGGAAATTGGGTGTGTCTTGTCCTTTTTCTCCTTCTTCTTCATGCCCTCCATGTTTCACTGTGGTGTTGGCATTTTTCTGTTGGTTCAGGCTGGGGACACACTGTCCAATGTAGGTGACAGATTTTGGCACGTTATTGTAAATCCAGCCCAGGGAGTTTCTGGTATTTAATGTTTGTCACATCCCACTGAGGGCAGAGCCCCACACGCTGCCCTGCAGGACAGAGCTGGGCAGGGCAGCAGAACATGTGAGAGATCAACAGAATAAACAACCTTGAAACCAGCACAGACCAATTATGGCTTCTTCTTTGGCAACGGGGCAGAAAGACAGAGACTTTTACAATCTCGGAATCATCAATACCACAGATTCTGATGCAAAATGAATATATAAAATGCTAAAGTGCCATTGTTTGCAATGTATCTACTAATAATGCTTAAAAAGACAACCTTGTGGTTGTTACTTAAAATGTTGGAGTGCAAATCTGATGGTGACAGGTGCAGCTCTTTTCTCTGCCCACTCAGAGCCTTGTGCTCCCCCGGATCTGCTGGTGCAGCTGTGGCTGCTGAGCCCAGTCCCATACAGGAGCTGAATCTCCCAGCTGTGGCACCTCAGCATGGAGTGATCCTGTGAGTTCCTGCACTGGGAGCACAGGGCTGGAGGCTGTGAAGAACTCAGTGCTGAGGGCTGTTGTCAGCAGCACCTGGCAGCAAATTTCAGGGACTAGAATGATGCAAATTTTAAATGATGTAGTTCAGTAATTGCAGCTTAAGATTTTCACCTCAAAATGCATTTCCAGAGAAAGCAGTGGTAGCTTTGTCTCCTGATGTAGAAATTTCAAACTTAGCATATCAATACCTTTTATGAAATACACCTGATTACCCTGGAGGAAAGGCTGCTCCCATCTCTTGGAAGTCTTTGTCCACATGACTGCTGCCTCAGTTACTCTGAATAGATTTCTGCTCTGCAGGAAATGTAACTGTGCTATCACTGTAGTCTTTATTCTAGTACAAAAGTTGAACTTCATTTATTGACACTTCTTACAACAAATATTGTGTTTAAGGATTGGGAACTGCAGTAGTTATAACATTTTAAGTGTTTGTTCTATTTTTCTGCTTCACTAAAATTATAAAATTCTCTCATTTCCAGGGTTGCACACAGAAGTATATTGTGAAGAACTACTTCTACTACTACTTGTTCAAGTTTTCAGCTGCTTTGGGTGAAGAGATTTTTTATATCACTTTCCTTCCATTTACCTACTGGAATATAGATCACTCTGTGTCCAGAAGGATGATAATTGTTTGGTCTGTAAGTATTTCTATGATTAATTTAAACTTTAATTCTCTGTCTATAGCTAATGAATATTTAAGAACAAGAACAACCCTTCAAGAAAATCCCTTCAAACCAAAGAAGCACCAACACTGTTTATGTGCAACTTGTGTTTAGGAAGAAAAGGCACTGCAATGCTGAGAGAGGAGGCGAGAGGCATCCTCCTCTGATTCAGGGTTTTTTCATCTCTGCCACATCTTGGGCTGACATTTTTTCAGCACAATCACTGACTGAGCTGCTTTTGATACAGTTTGCAGAGAACAGTTGGGAAAACACTTCCTTCCCAGTGCATCATAGTATTTCAGGGGTTGCTTTTCATCACTTTAGGAAGACTTTCTCCTATTTTCTTTTCTTCTATGTAATTTCATATGGTTCTGGCTAAGCTGAAATTACTATAAACCTAACAGTAAGGGGATATGCAGGCTGCCGTGGAATAAGCAGGGTGTTTCTGCAGCCACTTGAGGGGGGAAGAGATCGGATTGTCTGTTGAAGGCTAAAAGCATTGATTTTTATTAATAGAGAGCATTCACAAATTAACTGACTTCATCATTGCTTCAGCATGGGTTTGGGGTACCCAGAATAATGCATTTCCATTGTAGCCCCGAAAAAACCAGGAGATAACTGGGCTCTTCAGACCAGGACTGGCTGTTCTGTCACTGCCATTGCTCATCTTGGTATTGATCAGATATTGCTGCCCAAATAAAACCATTTTAGAACAGAGAAGGGAGGTAGGGAGCACCTCTGTTAGCTGGCAGAGCCTGGATGCACTATCAATCTACACTGATTTAAAAACTGAATCTTGGTAAAAACTTTAATATGCTATCCAAGTTTATCTCTTTACAGTGAAGTTTCTTTGTGATCTAGTCAATTCTGTTTAATGATATTTTGTCTTTTGACTAAATAATATGATAAGAAATAATAAAACCAACTTGAATTGGGTTATACACATCAAATACACCTGGTATTTGGCAGAAGGCATCAGTTGTTGGAGTGCAAATCTGATGGTGCCAGTAACCTTAGTCAATACATTTTATAAAGAGAACATGAGAAATAACTTGCAGATGAAATTTAGAAGTAGGTGGACACAGTACAACTAGAGCTGGATTTTGGCCAGGAGTACACCTACAGCTTCTGGAAACATGCCACAGAAGATGAAAATTGGTAGTCACTGCCTTCTGGGTTTGCATATAACTCAAAAAAAATGAGCCTTTGGAGTCTTTTACATGCATTTCTGTAGATTTGCCTTGTCTTTTCCTTGCAAGGAATTAATCTGAGTATTGGCCAGATCTAGTCTGACTTAATTAGAGTATTCAAGCATCTGATATGATAATTAATATTATTTTTCACTTACTGAGTTGTGGAGCTGCACTTTATACTGAAAAGGGGGAACTGTTTTAAATACACGGGCTTGCAACAATCTGTATTTTTAAAACATTAGTTGTATGTAACTGTGAAATGGCTAAAAATGTCCATGCAGGCCACGTGTTACTGCTGTGGCATGTCCAGCTGGGAGGATCTCTTGCTGGTGAGCAGGGACTGGCACTCACAGTGCTGGTGCTGGTCTAACAGTCATAAAACCACAGAATGGCTTGGGTTGGAAGGGAGCTCAAAAACCACCTCCTTCCATCCCCCTGCTGTGGCAGGGGCACCTTCCACCAGAGCAGGCTGCTCCAAGCCCTGTCCAGCCTGGCCTCAGATGCCTTGGTCCTGGATGTGACATTTGTGTCAGCTGCAAGGGAAACACCAAGGTGGCAGTGGGACAAAGCTGTGCTTTTAACTAAATTGGAGGTTTTTGGTGATGGGCTTCTGAAGAAATGCTTCTGAATGCATGATGATGATGGTGATGGTGTGTGGCTAAGAAGTGTGTTAGATGGCAGTAAAAACCCAGGCAGCCTGAAAGTCTCTGACCACAGCTGTGAGTGGAGGGCTGGGAAGAGCATGAAGGGATAATTGCAGGTCCCAGGCAGGTCCTGCAGAAGGCTCTTATCCATCTGGGGAAGGGAGCTGGTATCAAAGGAGAGCCCTAAGGGCAAGGTGGGAGTAGTTCCCCTTTAAAGGGGGTGCTCAGGATGAGGAGAGGTTGTTAGTGAAGCTCTTGAGCAGGGAGAGAGAGTGGACCAGCAATGACCTTTTCAAAAGCCTGGGCAAAGCACACGGATGTAGGGAACATGGCTGGCAGGGATGATGGTGACACCACTGGCCAGGAGAAGTGGCTCTGGAGAATGAGGGTGCTGAGGGTGGCACTTTTTGTGCTGTTTCCCACTTAAACCTGTGAATTTCTGCTGCAATTGGGAGATGATAATGTTGGTGTCCCAGGATGAATCACAGGAGTTTCATCCCTTAAAAATTAAAGCAGCATTAATGCTGTTTACAAAGACTTCCTGCCATCTTATCTGTAGCAGTTTATGTGGAGCCAGTCACCCCCATTTGAGAAAGATAATTTCAAATTGGAGCTGGGCCAGGGATGATTAAAGAACAGACTATTTTCTGAGCAGAGACCAAAAGCTTACATAAATCCCTAGCAAAATGAAATTGGAGGGAGAATGGGGCTGGCTGCAAAAACCATGGGGAAGGAAGGAGCTTCTTAAAATAAAACTACAGTCATAAGAAGAAACGTGCATAAGGCAGTCATAAATAATTTCAGTTGAAGCCAAAGGTTGTGAAATAGCTCTAGAAGGGTGAAGGGCAGAAAGAAAAATTTTAAAGAGTTTATTTCAGCAGCAGCAGAAGAGTGGACTTGGAACCCAGGAATGTCTTCTCCAGCCCTGGGTCCCCAGAGCCAGCTGCTTGTGCTTTTCTCCTCAGGTGGATGGCCGTGGGAAATGCTGAGTGGTTTTGCATCCAGATGCTTTGGCAGCATAAAGCTGCATGTTGAGCTTCCATGGGGCCTTGCCTCTGAGGATTTAGAGTATTTATGCAGGCTTTAGCTTTACCTTTGTGAACAGCTGGAGGAAGTAACTGTGTGAAACCTCTGAGCAAGGTGCTGAGTCAATAACGAAGGTCCCCTGGTGCCTTTGCTTCTCTTCTCCAGCAATTTGAAGTAAACACTCTTGAAACTGCACAGGCAAGGCTTTGATACCTGTGACTCTTGCAATTTCAGCCAGGAAGTGCAGAGATGAAAAGCAGCTTCACACAGTCCCCAAATGTTCTTTAAGTTTACTGCACATCTCAGCTCAAGAGGTGAAATCTCACTTTGTTTCTGTTTATTTTTTACTTTTTGCACTGCTTCAGGTTTGAAATCTTTATTTTAGTGTGGAATCTCAAATGCAGAGACCTAGGGGAAAAAAAAACCCTTTCTGTTTCAGTTTGCTATTCAGCATGCCTGGAAATTTCTTTTTCTGGGTTTTGTTCCTCAGGCCTCTTTATAGAATATAAAACTTTAATTTATGCAATGTAAATAAGAGCTGGCCAGCATGGACTTTGTTGGGGCAGGTGTGGAAGCTTTTGGCATGTGACAAGCTGCTGACTCAGGAGTAGGTGGCACCTCTGAAGGGAGGCAGCGTTTGGGTGTTTGTGATGCCAGGCTGTGTGTGCCCCTCAGGGCTCCCTGAGCAGCACTGGCTGGGGACATCTGCACCAAGTCTGAGAAGGTTCTGGGTCTGAATCCAGTGCAGTTTAGTTTTCATCTTGCTTTTCAGAAGAACAGTTTTCTACAGGCTGGCAGCACTTAGTTACTCAGCAATGATGAGCTCATTACTCCCTCTCAGAGCAGCCAGGAGTTTCCTAATCAGCTGGAGTTCACCTGCAATTGTGATGCCACTGATATGGCTGTGCGGTGATTGAAAACACACTTGGAAGCAAACTCCTGGTTTTACAATTTGTGTGTGTGTTAGTGCAATTGCAACACTTGGCTGAAACAAGCCTGGAACTGCTGACAAACAGAGTCACTTGAAAGCCAAGCTCCAAATATTGCACTGCACAGGAACATGTAAAACTGTATTCAGGCACATAACTAACTACATGTCAGGATACAAAAATAAATGGTGTGTGCAAGTTGATAAAGTGTTGATTGAAAGGGAATTTTGCAAGAGCTGGCAGCTGTACTCCACCCTTGAAGAAAAAGTGCCAATAAGGCTTTCATAACTGAGACAAGCTCTGAATCATTTAAGGTGAAGTTTCAACTGGCAACCTTTTGTATTTCAGTAGAACTTCTAGGTGTAACAGTTTACAGTTTTAGATGTTAGATGACAAACCAGATCAACCTGACAGTACTTTTCCCTGCTACCAGGAGCCTGGATGCCTGGACTCAAATTTCTTTCTCTAAGCCCACTATAAGACACTCAATTACCTTATAGATTTTGTCTAAAGGCTTCTTTTAAAGACAGAGAATGTGTTAGGGTGTTGGCTGGTTGTGCTTCTGGAGGCTTGAGGTACTACTAATCTTGTTCTGGTTTTGTGTTTCTGAAGCCTGAATTGAGACAAAGTCGTCCTTCCTTAAATATATATAACAGTTTTAGAAAGCTGCCCAAGCTGTGTCTTCCCTGTCCCCCAGCCCCTGCTGCCCTGTGCTGTGCTGTGAGTGCTGTGCTGCTTGTGGTGGGCTGGAGACCTGCCTGTGGGATTTGATGTTCCCATAGTGGCTGGGACAGCCCAAGGGTTTGAGCATCCCACCAGCTGAATGCAGCCTTGAACATCCTATGGACCCTGGCCAAGCCCTTGGGAAACGTGGAAAGCTCCCGTGCAGCCAGCACAAGGTGGATGTGTTTTCTGGAAACAATACCCAGCTGGAAATGGCAGGTGCTGGAGCTCTGGGAGAGCCAGCTACCCTCTCCCACAAGGTGTGTGTGCCTCCAGGAGGATCCAGCCCTGCTGCTGGGCTTGGAGCACGGGGAGCAGCCCGGTGCTTCAGGAGGGGATGGGGAGCAGGAGGCAATCTGAGGGTGGCTTAGGGCCCCAGGTTCTGCTCTGCAGGGCTTCCTCCACCTGGGCTGCTGCCAGGGCAAGGGGCCAAGAGTGCTGCTCAGTGACTGTCATGGTGTGCTTTGCTGGAGCCAAGCCTTAGTTCTTGGCATTGACTGGGGGGTAGGTAGGAGGAGTACCTCCACAAGAACAAGCTTTTCCTTGCCCTGTTCCTCTTTCACTCTGAACCGAGTGATGCCCGAGGGACAAAGTCACAGCAAGAATCTGCTGCAGTGTTTATCTGGTCACTGCACCTGGGGGATGCTGAGCACAGAGCTGTGCAGGCTGGGTGCTTGGCTTAATTTCTCTATGGTAAATCAAAGTCACGCCTGCCTCAGCAACCCCACACAGTCTTTACTTCTGCTTGACTAATCATGTTTATTAATAGGCCAGCCTTCTTTTTTTTTTCTTCAGTATGCTTGGTCACTCCTATCAGTGCACAGTGCTCGGGAAAGAAACCCAAAGTAACATCATTTTCAAACTGTAAGTTTCCTTTCTGGTGAGATGACATATACTACTGCAGGCCAGGGTTTCTAGAGCCAGGTTACAGAGTTTCTATTTTGGAGCTAAACCAGAAGATTTGGAGTCAGGCTGCCACACTGTGAATCTCAGGGAAGAAATTGCCTATGCTATTTGACAGCGTGTCTTCTCTAGAATTTTGTCTTGTCCTTTTAACAGATCAATAATGAAGATAAGGACAGCTGCAAAATCAGAAGCTGAAAACAAATATGATCTAGTTCCCCTTTGTTAGCTGAAATATGGCAGAATAAAAAAAGAATTGCTCCTCCTGACCTTCATATGCCAGTGAGAGAGACAGGTGTGTCCATCCTGCACAGAGGTTGTAGAGGGCAGGGGTGAAGGAGGATGTCCACACAAAGCACACCTTCAGCACTGAGCATGTTTCCTCAATCCTGCCAGGCTCAGGGTCTGGGCAGCTGCCATAGGAACATTCCACAGGGGAAGTTGCACTCTGTGGCAGTACTGCCACGCCTCTGCACAGGGAACAGGCTTAGTTGTGTCTGTCTGCTCCATGTGCATCTGCACTGTGGTGGTAAATCTGCTTCCAGAGCTCTTGCTTCCTGTCATAGGAGTGATGCATGTGAGGGGAAACCATTGCAAATACCAGACAATGCCTGCAGGTCAGAAAAACCTCCTCCTAGATTGTTGACTTACACGCCAGAGGCATGGGAATGTCAGGGAAACAGGTCACTTCATGGCACTCAGATGCTCAGAAGGAGGGGAGCAGCCCCTCACCCCAGAGGGATCTCCTTCAGATGTTGGAACAAATGAATAGCTATCCACACCTGTGTGGATTCTAATACCTCAAATTTTGTTCTGTAGTTGTTCACTAAAGCAAAATATTTTAAATTACAAAGATATGATTGTCTTGTTTATCCTGATGCAAAGGCTCAGGTGAAGAAGTATTTTTGGAGGTAGACTATATATATGACTCAGAGCAAATTAAGAGGAAGCTCTCAGAAAAAGACCACAGAGGCTGTCTTGCTGCTATAGCAACTGCCAATTGCCTTTGTGTAGTAAAATGTAATGCTGTTCACCCAAAGTGGCAATAAAGCCTTGCCTTTCCTTCACCTGGAGTCCTGGCTTGCTGTAATGTGCTGCTATTGCCCTTGCACAGCTGTAGCTGTGGTAGACACCACAGAGCCTGAGGAAGGTCTTGCTTTAAGCTGCTTACAGTTTTTGGGTTTTGTTTGGTTTTTTATTGCTGCTTACATTTGTTGCAAGGATTTAACCCAAAAGAGTTCAGAGTCATTTTCATTGCGTTGGGAAAACATGGATGTGCATGAGAGAAGGGTGAGGGTGGGCACTGCCGGATGGGTCCCACTGGTGCCACTCCTGCTCCGTGGCACAGGGCTGTCCCAGGGAGGGCACCCGCTGCCAGGGCCGGCAGCTCTGCAGAACTCTGCTTTGCCATGCTGTGAGAAAAGAGCCTGTGGGGAGCCTGGGCAGAGCCGAGCTCCTGCAGCCCTCACAGAGCCCGGGCAGTGCTGGGCAGAGCCGTGCTCCTGCACCTGGGCAGTGCCAGGCAGAGCCGGGCAGAGCTGAGCTCCTCCAGGTCCCCCAGCTCCCCCATGCCGGGCACAGCCGGGCTCCCCCAGCTCCCCCAGCCCCTGCAGCCCGTGCAGAACCCGGGCAGAGCCGGGCACAGCCAGGCTCCCCCAGCTCCCCCAGCCCCTGCAGCCCACGCAGAACCTGGGCAGAGCTGTTCTCTTCCAGCCCACACACAGCACCCGAGCAGTGCCGGGCACAGCCGGGCTCCCCCAGCCCCGCAGCCTGTGGGGTGCAGGTGCCACGGCACTGCCTGTGCAGGGTGGCCTTTAGCAATGTGCCCCTGATGTCATTCTCTCGGGCAGCCTGCCACTTCAGCTGCTGGGGGTGTTTTACCTCACCCACAAGCGCTGCTTCTGCCACATATTTCAGAATTATGTGTGTAAAGCCATGTGCATGGTACCCAAGTAAGCTAAAGGCAAAGGTACGGTGCTTCAGAGATCCATGCTGTCTGGGCATATTCTGGAGTCCCCTGCATGTTTTATGAAGGTCGTCTCACCTCTCCTTACCCGCTATACAGTTTGTTTCTAAAGTAAAAGGGTCAGAATTTAATCTGGGATGCTGGGAAGGGGAGGGTGTTGTGATGATGTCTGGTATTTTCATTTACCCATCCCACTTCCAGCATTAAGTCTGTTTTTTCACCATCACAGGAGTCCTAGCATAGCCTTCATTTTTGAGATGACTCATTTCCTTTTCTGCAATGCTCTTATGTTCTAGTGCTAATAATACTTACACAAGTGGAAGTCATTATTATAGAGGACTGCTGATAAACTGGCTCATCCTACCTTGCCTCTCAGATGGTATCACAAATGGCAGCCTCAATGTTTTATGTTCTGCCCGAGAGAGCAATTTTTCTTTCAACCTTGGAATTTAATTAACTTCCAAACATGTGCCTGCATCCATTTGGAAACTGAAGGCATTAACTAAATAAAATCACACAGTAGGTTTTTAAAATACATTTGTTCCTTGAGCCTTTGTTTACTGTGAACAGTCTGGGGCAGAGTATTTATTCACTGTCTTCCCTGTGCCCTGTGTGTCCATAGGAGCAGCCAGGTGGGTCCCACCTGCTGCTGATAATAAGGCAGTAATGTGATTCATATGATGAGGAATAAAGGATGCAAAGTCACTTTTCCAGGCTCTGCTGCTGGCTGTAAATCTAGCACTCTCTGGCTTGTGCTTTGCTGTAGAGGGAAGGACGAAGGAATGACTGGCTTTTTCCTGGTCCTGACTTCTGAATCCTGAATCCTGCCATCTTTCTTTTAATGTGAAACCATTTTTTAAATGGCTGATGGGAGAGAGAGGGATGCAGCGTGCCTCGTGACAAATGTGGCAGTGGGTGATCGTGTTGCTGTTCCAGCATATGGCCAACACCAGTAGAAAGGGAAGGATGTTATTTTAAGTCCCCTCCTTTGCTGGTGGGAGCATAAGAAGCAGAAGAGCAAGCTGTCTCACACAGCAAGTGAGCTTTCATGGTAGACATCAGTTAACCTGATTTTTGTACTAAAAAAAAAAGAAAAAAGGTTTGCTTGGCTTTGTTTTAAAGAGCCTCCTCTGCCTATGTGTGGCTACATTATGTAAAGGGAGGAGGGCTACAACAGAAAGCAAATACATCCTACAGGGACAGCCTGGTTAACTTGTCTCAGATGTCCTCACTGTGGATGCTGAGAGAATGCTGCATTTGGGGAGAGGCTGCTAAGGAGCACGGCTGGATGGGCAGCACCTCTCAGGGACATTGGATAGCATTGCCCCTTGCCTCTGCTTCCCTTGCTGACCTGAATGCAGCCCTCGCTTAAACGCCTGGTGTCTCAAGCAGGGAATAAAATCCTTTTACTGGGGAGTTAGGCAGGAGAACTGGTAGCTCATGTTGCCTGTCCAGTTTCCCTCTGCTGCCTCTATGAGGATGCCGAGGCTGTCACTGAATAACCACACGGGTGCTGTGGCCCAGCAGGGCTCCTGCAGCAGTGGCTGGAGTGGGAGCTGCTGGGAATGGGGGAGCTGGGGCTGGACATGGCTGTGATTTGAAGATGAGGTGGAAAAATTTCTCATATGGCTGCTTTCTTTGCAGGAGAGGGGTTGTAAGGGATAGGGAGGAAACTTAAACTTCTCTGGCTTGGTGTGGGAACCAGCTGTCTGTCTCACACTGTCCTGTATTGCTGAATCTCATCAGCCAACCCTCCTTTTGGTCCCACTTCTGCTCATGTTACCACAGAGTGCAGCAAAACCACCACTTCCTTCACTGGCTGAGCTAATGGAAAGCCCTTTAATAATTCAGGAGATAAATTCTCCACTTGGAGGGGTGGATTCTGCAAGAAAAAGCACAGAAATACAGGTGGTTCTTGGGTGGGCTGCGTGGGGATTGCCTGTGCTGACTGACAGCCCTGTGGCCTTTCCTGTCCCCAGATAGTGATGTACATAGGCCAGGTCTCCAAGGACATCCTGAAGTGGCCTCGGCCCCTGTCACCACCTGTCGTGAAGCTGGAGATGAGGACGAATGCAGAGTATGGGATGCCATCCACCCACGCCATGGCAGCTACAGCCATCTCCTTCTCCTTTTTCATTGCAACCATGAACCAGTACAAGGTAGGGGTACAAAAGGAAACCAGAAGAAAAAAAAGAAAATACATTAAGAAAAGAAAAGCCTGTGTCTGCTTCCAGCAAGCCACATAAAGCTTGCGAATCCAAAGATGTTGCTACTTCCAGAGTAGTTCTTTATTTATTTTCACAGATGTGTATTCTTCCCTGTTCTTACCTGTAGCTGCTCAATAATAAAAGAAATTTAGTGGTAATGTCCTTTTTTATGCAAGGACTCCTCTCAGAGCTGCTGGCAGGCTGCACTGCCCTGCTGTAGTTTGGTGGGGTCACTGTGTTTTTGCACGTGGGGTGGCCTGGCAGGGAAGGTGCCTGGTTGCCACATTTTGTGTTCAGGCCATGCCCACCAAGTCACTGCTGCACACTGGGACATGCTGGCTCCCAGGGGAACCAAAGGAACTCTGTGGTTTCTGTATGAAAGGAAAAGCATTCCTGGAAATCCCCTGGTCCAACCTGAGTTAGACTAACAGCACGCAACATGATCAGGAAGCCTGCTTGTCAGAGCAGTAACAGCAACTTCACTGTAGGAGCTGTAGGCTGCTTGGGGAAGTCTCATCATTTTTCCTCATCTTCCTAAAAGGTTTATTTCCTGGAAACTCATTTCTCCATGATGATTATTTTTGTTCTGTTTAATGAATCCAAGCCTGTGTTTCCTGTACTCTAGCAGTAATCACTTCCTGGCTGCATTGTATTTAAGAATGTTTCTTAGCCCTCTCAAGGGATAAACCCATGTAATAAGAGGGCTCCTGCTTCCTGTGTGGTAACAAGAGCAGCTTGACAGTGGCATGGAGACAAGGAGCCAAAAGAGGGGATATTTGTTAGTCCTGGGAGCCAGATCCATCCCATGTGTCAGGGCTGCCAAGATGACCTGGTCAGCATTGCCTTCTCCTCAATCCAAAGTGACCAGAGGGACATGCAGCTCTTAACAGGCAGTCTTGTGCTTCCTGGAAACTGCCATGAAACAATAAAGCTGCTGTCAAACAATTAAATGGTTTAATTGCCTCTATTAAGATAGAAAAATCTCCCAGTACATTATGCTGCTATCTTCTCAAGATGCCCTAATCATCAATTACTGATCTGGACTAGCTCGAAGGCTGCCTGCTGAGGGAGGAGTCAAGTGGGTGCAAATCCTCCAAAGGCTTAGAGAGATGAGGGAAAATAGTGTTTTATGAACTGGGAGTGACATCTGCAGCTGGATTTGAGCTCTCTATTCAGGAAGCTGGAGTATGCCAGGGGAAAGGGTCAGAAGTGAGCTGCTATGCTTAGAATTTCCACAGAGGCATTTTTGTGCTGACCTGTGGACACCCTGGTCAGCCGTAAGCCTCTGACAGAAGATGGAAACTTTGTGTCAAATTGGATTAATTAATTGCATTTATTTGTATTTTGAGTTGGTTTATTTTTTTCAGAAAAAAACTCCCTTATGGATTGAAAGGAGCCCAACAGCCCACTCAGTTTCAGAGTTTGAATGAGTGGATTAAGGGCTAATATGTTAAGCTTATTCTTTACCAAATGTGTTTTTTTACAATTTTTAAATGTTTTATGTTTAATGATTTATTTAAATTGTTCTTTCCATGTTTTTAGTTTACTCAGGGAGGGTATTAGGCAAAAAACAGCTTCATAAGAAGATGATTAAACCTTTAAGTGTCACGGGGAAGAGCAGTCCTGACTGCTCTAATAGCTGGACTGTGGTTTCAGCCCAGACATTGATTCTCCCCACTCAGGCACTGCTCGAGGACAATCGATTACACTTCTGGTCAGACTCTGCAGCTGTCACAGTCGCCTTGGCTGAGCTGAGACTGCAGTGCTACCTCAGGCATGGTTTGTACAACATGCCTGCCTTCTTCCTTAAGCTCTTTGACACTAACATGGGTTTTGCAGATAGATATTGTAGAGAACAATTCTGCAAATACCATCTATTCCCCAGATGTCTCCACAGTGAGACCAGATGTTGCAGAAGCAGGCACCACAGGTAATGAAATGACCTTCCAGCAGGGTTGTGTGCTGATTGAGGGGGACCATGTCTCAGGTCACATTCATCTCTTGGGGAAAGCACAGCTCAGGAGCCTTTTTCCCGGCCGGGGTTCTTTTTTTCGTTCCGGTTGTTTGTTTTATTGTTTTTTTTTTTTCCCCCCCTTTTCACAGTATCCATTCGAGCTCGGCCTCGTAGCAGCGTTCGTGGTTTCGACGTTGGTGTGTCTGAGCAGGCTCTACACAGGGATGCACACAGTCCTGGTAAGGATGTGCCTCCAGCGCTGCTTTCCTACAGCTCTGCCGGGTGGTGGCCGTGCCAGCGCAGGGGCAGGGAGTTGTGCCGCTGAGTTTGGGGCTGGGCTCTCGGAGGAGCTGCGGAAGCCCTGGGGCTGCTGCTGGAGCCCGCAGGGGATTTACAGCGCGGGGAGGCTGCGGGGCGCAGCCGGCTGAGCTGAGCGCGTCTCCAGCGCAGCTCCCCATTTCGACACTGTAATTGCCAGGAATGCGCTTGGGCAAGCGGCGCTGCTCCTGAGCTCAGCCCTTTGTGCAATAGTATCAGCGCTGGCAGCGGGACAGCCGGGCTGGCTCAGCCCCAGCCCGGGAGTGCCGGCAGGAGCTGCGGCTCGGTGAGCCACGGGCCAGGCGCGGCCGCCTTGCGCAGGCACCAGGCGCTCAGCAATGACAGGTTCCTTGTTTGCAGCTGGAAGGAAATTGCTGCTTAAGGGATTGAGGTGCACAAATAGTTTGTCTGAAAATAATTGTAAAATAGCTGTGGGTTTATATGACAGACTTGCTGGGCAGTTGCTTAGAGACATCAGTGCTGCTTTAGGAACTAATTTCAGTGTGCCTGTGATAGCTGGTTCATTCCTGACAGGATGAAACTTTTTTGATCTGTTACATACAGTGGACAGAGGGGCGGTCCAGCTTCCAAAATATGGATAAAAACTTCGGGCTATTTCTTCAGGAGTTTGATATGTGTTGTTGGTTTCATATGCATAAATAATTGAATTTTTTTACTAAGTAATAATTATGTTTGTAATGAGATTTGATGGCTGTAAGAAAGGGAGCCCTCGTGTGATTAAGGTTAGCTATAAAATATAGCTTGACCTTCCCTTTCAGGCCCAGTGGATCAAAACAGTATCTTACATCGAGGCTGCAGACACCCTTTTTGGGCTACTGACCTTAAGTCAAAAAGTAAAAATTCTTTGCATACTTCTCTTGCTGACCCATCATAATGAAAGACCCCTCTAAATTTAGATGGATTTTTGGGTAAAGAAGAAAAAGTCCTTTGTGCTTTTGATATGATAGAAAAGGGCTGTAAAATAAAATTTTAGAAAAAGCTTCCTAGCTGAAGAGTGAGCAATGCTGCCTTTCAGAAGGGCAAAGGTGCTTGGCTGGGTCTTTATCCAGTGTGTGCCAGGCTGGGTCACAGGTTCCACATGCAGCTTGTCACACAGGGACTGGCTCTGCTATGCCACTGGCTCTTTGGGGAAGAAGTGCAGTCCAGAGCTGTTTCTGACCTCAAGCCATCACCTGAAAGAGTCTCTGGGTTTTTAACTGAGGCCATAATAGAAAGGATGTAATAATGTATTACATTTTAGTAAAGCAAAGGAATGGGTAACAAATATCCATGGACTTGGTGCAACTGAGTTTTTCCTGTTTGAGGAACCAGAGGAAGAGCGACAAGGGCAGTTGCACTGTGCTTTCCTGCAGCTCCTCATCAGTGCAGAATCTCATCTTCTGTAGTCTCAGCCTTACAAATCTGTTTGTATTTTAGCACTGCTGGCCTTGCTTTTGAATGAGGAGGGGTATCAGAAAGCACAGTGATGTCATTAGAAGAGATATTCCCATCAAAGACCTCCTGGAGAGGCAGTCAGCTGGTATGGGAGCTGTCTGCATCCTTCCAGCTGTACCAGAGTGAATACTATGCTCAGGGAAAAGGGAACCAGCACCCATGGCCTAGGCTGTTACCAGGAGAGCATCACCCAGCCAGAGAATGGGGTGGCAGCAATGCACTCACTCTGTTGACAGGTAATTGAGTTACAACCACCCATCTCCATCACCTCAACATCAGTGTCCCGTGTGTGTGGAAAAACAGGGGAAATGCAGGGTCCTTTCTTGTAGGTCTTAAATGATGGAGTCCAAGAACCTGGTAAAGAGGCAATCTGGAGTTACCTGGAAAGGACAAAGTAAAAAAGAAAATAAAAATTTGGATACACTTTGAAGCAGTGAATCTGTAAGTTTTTAAGGGTTATTTTTGAGAAACAAGAAGCAATTGGAGATTATATGAGTGATAACTGTTGTTGTATGCCTTTTTTCTCCAGAGAGTTGTATTCTAGAAAATATTACTTTGTTTCACCTCTTAAAACACTGGCCCAATTTTTTGTCCCGTCCTCAATGCAGTGAAAAAGTTTTCCTGCCTCACATCTGCTGAAGCCATTCCCTCCAGAGCCACAGCTGATGTGGGGAGAACCTCGCTGGCACTGCCACTGCCCTGAGTTACAAGCAATAATCTCCTGTGCTGAGCAGCATGGTCACTTTTTATAGCAAAAAAAACATGAAGGGCTTTTTCTCCCCCCTGAGATGTATCATTTAGTGTTGATGCATTTATTTCTGCCTACACTTCCCACAGGGGGAGTTGGGGGTGTGTGTTCTGAAGCTCCCACCCCACCCCTTTGTTGGGCTGTATTTCAGGTTTTTTCATACTACCATTAATCCTGAAATTATCTTAGATATTTTAAAGCTGATAAACACCCAACATAGTCACAGTATTTCACACACTGTGCAGCACAGTTCTTAGGAGTGGAGTTTAGGAGCATGAGTAGTGTCTCACACTAAATGAATATAAGGGAACTCAGGCAGTAAGTGACCTTGTTCCAGACAGAATAGGAAAAGTGCTCCTTATGCTTGGATTGGGAGTATCAGGGAAGCAGGGCAGATGTTTGGGGCAGTGTGGGAGCAGGGCTGAGCTGCATGGCCGTGGAGGGGCTTCAGGGGAGCTCGATGGAGCCTGGGGAGGACTTGTCTGTGCCGAGGGAGCTGGAGCATCCCAGCAGGATGGTTGAACCTCCCAGCAACCGGAGGTTTGAAATTCTGCAGGTAGTACTGCACCTTGAGCAAAATCCGTGCCTGCCCTTATTTAAAAATTCCTTTATAATTGCGGGCTTGGCGAGAGGCTAATCTGTTTACACAGGCAGACAGGCAGGAATGTGCTTCCTGGGCGTGCTGACAGCAGCTCCACTCCCGGGAAAAACTCAGGTCCTGCTCCGGGGGGCACAGCAGCCAGAGTCCGCAAAGCAGCTCTCGCAGAAATCAGAGTCATCCCTCCTCTTCCCATCTTGTCCTGAGTTTAACAGGCAAGGGGACACGTCATTAATTCTGCATTGCTAAATGTAAGAGTTGCTCTGGATCTTGCCAACCTCTTTTGGATGTTGAAAAAAAATCAAACCTGCCCATGCACACCGGGACTGAAGGGACCACCGCAGACAGCCACAGCATGTCCTGAGCTCTCCAGCAGCTTCTAGTTTCCAAATGAGAAGCCAGATATTGGTGGATGGGGGGAAAACAGAATAAACTGTTGACCTCCTACATATACATATATATGTACTTACAAAACATGTACTACATATATATATATATATCTATATATATATCTATATCTATATATCTATATCTATATCTATATCTATATCTATATCTATATCTATATCTATATCTACATCTTTACTTACAAATTATATACATTGTATACTTACAAATTGTATACACTGCTATACTGGTACATGCATTATAAAACACACAAAATTAACAAATATAACAATGAAATAAGCATTACTTCTGAAAAATGTACATTTTATTTGACTTATGAGCAAAAAGTATGTTCTCCCCCCAACCCCACTGGCTGCTTTGTGCACCCAGTTTGGAGACCACTGGTACAATGCCACTGGTCAGGGGCAGAGCTGAGTGTCTGGGTCCTGCTTGAAACTTCCAAGAGCCACGGTACTGTACTGGGGCTGAATGGGAGAATAACAAAATTCAGAAAACTTCAATTAGGTTTGTAAATAGGGACTGTTTGCAACTGGCTCGGGAACTGCTGGAGTCAGCTGGGTAAATCTGAGCAAAGTTTTGTGAGGAAATGTTAATATTTTGTTACATTTCTTTAATTGAACAGAAAAGCATGTGAACAGCTTTTGAATTTTGCTCCTTGATCATGCACAGAGGGGTATTGAGGACTTTTTCTTCTAACATGATGTGGACAAGCATGTGTGTGGGAAATATATGTACAGAGTGGGGATGGGATTTATGAGGATCAGTGCTGGGAGCAGCCCCTGGCTCTTTTGTGTTGAGGTGGTTGCTTAGTGTTGGGCCAAACCATGCTTTGTGTGCAAAGGTATCATCTAAGAATTGACAGCAAAACATGATTTACTGTGAAGTAAAGGTATATAATATAGTGGTATTTTACATACTAGATATCTGTGATCAAGTCTGTGTATTTCCATGGCTAGCCTCATGTTTTGGATGAGAGAATAAAAGGAAATTTGTATTAGGGATGTGCAAAATGGCTGTAGGAGTTGTTTAAAACCAAGTGCGCTGTGAATGTAATGGAAGTTATAAACAGCTGAAGTTCAACCATACAGGAGTAATGCATTTACCAGAATGTCATTAAATATTTCTGTTGTGAGAAAGTCCCCTCATTCCTGCCTAACTCAAAGTGAAGCTCACATAAATAATTTTCAGACTGTGACCAATCATGGTAGTAGTCAGCTGTCATGACTTGTGGAAAAGATACAATCTTAGAAGAGGACATTTCTGTCTGTAGCTAACTTCAGCTTTTGCAGAGCTTTTTGTGGCTGTACGAACACTGCTGCCTCTACATGACACTGGAAGGGTGGCACAGGGAAACTTGTTTTATTGCTTTTTACCTGGCTGCTCCCATACAGAGAGCTTTTGTTAGGGGCTACCTCCTGCCTCAGCTTTGTGGCTGACAACAATCAAGCTCCCAAAACACCTTATTTGCCTCTGTTAATAAATTAGGGTTTAACTATATGCTTGCTTCAGGCAGTGTACCAAAGGCCAGATTTCAGAGACTTGGGCAACAAATTTCTCCTTGCTGTATCCCTGCCTGGAGGTGCCTTCTTCCGCAGTTGGCAGAAGCCATGGCACACACACCACATCCCACAGCTCTGCCCTTTCCATCCCTGGAGCTTGTGGTTCTGGGATGGGAGCCTGTCTCTGACAAGGGACAGCATCTCCCCCTTTATGCAAAGCAAGCAAGGGATAATCACACTGACATGATGAAACTGTTGTAGGGTTATGGGAGGGAAAGGGTTTGTGTGAAGGCAGCTCACTGCAATGTTGTCCTTGGGATGGAGTTGTGCACGTGCCTTTTCCGAGGTCATAGGTGGGGAATGTCCTCAAATGATGAGAGCAGGTGAGGAAGGATGTGTGTCCACAGACATATGCATATACATAAGCTAAGGCTGGGATTGTGGATTGTCATGTTTTGTTTAGCACATGGTTCAGGTTTTCCCTGCACATGGATAATGCCATCAGTGGACTCAGGGTGTTCTCCACTGCTGGGCCCCACCTATGCAGATACTGGTCTTTTATAATCACCCAAATACCTGGTTTACCTTCCAGGCCTCACAAAGCCTTTAAAATGTGATTTCTTTACAGGATGTGATCGGAGGAGCACTGATTTCGGCTGTGCTGCTCGTGCTCTTGTATCCTGCGTGGGACACAATAGATCACTTGCTGTTAACCAGCCCCTTCTGCCCATTGTTCTCCGTAGTTGTGCCTCTTGTCTTATGTTACAACTACCCCAAACTAGACTATTACAGCCCTACCAGGGGAGACACCACTACGATCTTAGGAGCAGCAGCTGGAGCAACTGTGGGATTTTGGTTAAACAACCAGTACGCTGCTTCGGCCTACGCTGGCCAGAGCCTTCAGCCTGGCCTCCCTCTGATCGCCAGCACAATGGTGTTGGTGCTAGCCAGGTTCTCCGTGGGGATCTTGGTTGTCCTGCTGACACGCTGGCTCATGAAGAGCGTGGTCCTTGGCGTGCTGGGCCGTCGGTACAAGTTCCCCATCGGTGACCTGGAAGCCCGGAGGCGCCTGGAAGTGGAGGTGCCCTACAAGTTTGTGACCTACTCCTCCGTGGGCTTCACGGCCACCGTGGTTGTGCCGCGGCTGCACGAGCTGCTGGGGCTGATGTGAGCACAGCTCCTCCTCGCCGAGCCGCCGCTTCGGACACGGGACAGTCCAGGCTGCTGACCAAACCAAAAAGTGTTTTGTGCCTTTCTGCACTGGTGTGGTGGGTTTGGCTCTGGCTGGATGCCAGGGGCTCACCAAAGCTGCTCTATCACTCCTCTCTCTCCAGGGAGAGAAAATATAATGAGAGGATCATGGCTCAAAACAAGGGCAGGGAGAGATCACTCAGCGGTTTTACTGTCACAGGCAAAACAGACTCAACTTGGGGAAATAAGTTTAATTTATTATCAAACTAATCAGAGTAGGATAATAAGAAATAAAACCAAATATTACAACCACCTTCCACCTACCCCTCCCTTCTTTCTAGGCTCAGCTTCCCTCCTGAAGTCTCTAGCTCCTCCTGCCCACCATCGCATGGGATTGGAGGTTACAGTCAGTTCATCACATGTTGCTGTTCCTTCCTCCTCAGGGGTAGAACCCCTCACACTCCTTCCCTGCTCCAGCATAGGGTCCTTCCCACAGAAGACAGCTCTTCAGAAACATCTCCAATGTGAAGTTTTCCATGGTCTGCAGTTCTCCATCCAGCAAGGGTCCCCTGAGGGATCAGAAGTCCTGCCAGGAGCCTGTTTCTGTGGTGTTTTTCAAAACTTTCTTAGGGCATCACCCTGCTCCAGTGTGGGGTCATGCACTGATTGCAGGTGGCTTTCTGCTCCCCATGGACCTCCATGGGCTGCAAGGGCACAGCTGCCTCACCATGGGCTGCACCATGGGCTGCACCATGGGCTGCACCATGGGCTGCAGGGGAGTCTCTGCCCTGGCACCCAGAGCACCTCTTACTCTTCCTCATCCTTCTGTGATCTTGGTGTCTGCAGAGTTGTTTCCCTCTCATATCTTCACTCTTCTGCCTGCAATTGTATGGATTTTTCCTCCCTTCTTAAACTGTGTTATCCCAGAGGTACTGCTACTGTCACTGATGGACTCAGCCTTGGCCAGCAGTGGATGTGTCTGGAAGCCAGCTGGCATTGGTTCTGTTGGACACAGGGGAAGCTTCTGGCATCTTCTGAGAGAAGTCACCCTCATAGCCACACCCCCGATGCCCTTGCCACAGAAACACAAAGCAACTAGCCTAAAATATCTGACTCGGAGGAGTAATGGGAATTTCTGTGCACAGATAACTTTGGGTTAGAAATCACTGACCCCACCGTGTCCCCTCTGTGTCCTACAATTAAACACCCTCTGCCCAGGCAACTAAATATGACAGGCTCACAGCCAAAATCGCTGCCAGGGCAGCAGCAATGGCTGTTTTGCTGTGGGTCTGGGGTTGCTGGGGAGCAGGGCTGTGCCTCTGCCTGCCTGGCTGCTCCTGAAGCAGCAGAGCAAACGGGCATCAGGGAAAAAGTGGCTGGTGGAGTGGGGGACATGTGAGCAGACAAAATCAAAATGCCATCATTGGGCAGAGCTCAGAGTGTCTTCTGATGGCACTGCCAGACCAGGCTAGTTCTGTGTGTGGTTTTACTCATTATTCCAATGTAAAATAGAAAAAAACAAACCCAAAATGTAAAAGAGAAGGAAAAGCCAACACAATGTTTAATGTGATTTGCTGCAAATTTCCTTGGATATTAATAAGAAAGCCTCCACTGAAAGATCTTTTTCCTACAAACGACTAAGCAGAGTTATTATTGTAGAACTGAGGCTCGAGTTCAAACTGTTTAACTCCAATTTAGTTCCCCTGGTAGAGGAAAGGAAAAAGTCCTCCCTGTCATGTGTAGGGGTGACAAGTAGATTCCATAAACTGCGTTGTGGAAGGAGCTGAGCAGTGACTCTGGTGACTACAGCGCGTGACAATTATAGGATGCCATCATTTCTGCTGCTGCACAGCATCACAGTTGGTCTTCCATGCATCCTGCAACACTGTGTGTGCACTTGTAGAATAGCAGGGAGGCATGTCCATAGGAAAGGCATGCCTATAACTCAGGCTGCTTATTTAAAACACTATATTTCAGCTGTTGGACCAATGAGCTGTTGAGAAATACAGCAGTGAACATGGTCTGCTTAGCTAGCAAAATGTACCGTGCTATTGCTGCAGAGCTTCAAGCATGGCCCCTGTGCCTTGCCTGGCAGAATGTACAGTGAGAGCCAGCTTTCTAACCATGTCCACTTGTCTTCCTGGCTGCGAGAAAAGTGAACCTGAAGAATGTAAAGGAGGTGCTTTGCCCTCCATTGACTGCCTGGATAAACAAAATCAATTCTAGAACTGTAGCTGGGGGTTCTGTCTGAGGAGTGCGAGGCATGCACGTGAAAGAGCTGCACCACTCCAAACCCAGATTGCCAATCTCCAGAAGAAATGCAGGCAGAAATTTTAACCATTTTTAGATTTTCTCAGGCTGTGTTTTATATCAGGTTGTGTGGACTTTACACGTGCATGCAAACAGCTCCAGTGAGCCTTTCAGCAGGGCACATGGCCACTCACACCTGCCCCTGAGTGAGTGCTGGACATGGGCCACCCCAGCCATGGGGTTCCATCCTCAGCCTCTCCCTCCCAGACACCACAGAAGCTCTACCATCAAGTTTAAAATACCTTTACACCCCTTGTGTTGAGTGTACTGCATGACACACACAGGTGCAGTGCACAACTGGAGCCCTGCGGAGGGGCCACATCACAAAATTGGGAAAAAACTTGGCAGCAAGATGAGCTTTTAAGCTGGGGATTGGAATTACTCCCAAGAAAGGCACAATTTGACAGGGACATTCATGCAGCTTTATGTGTAAAATTTCTGTTCTGATTCACAGCTATTTTATGCTATGAAGATTTTATAAATTATATATAAATGCTGCACAGGTATTTTTATAGTATTCACCTGCATGTGATTCATGCAATAAATGCAAACTCTATTTGGTTCAAATTTTAAAATAAACCTATTTTGCAGAGTTTGTTGTCTGTCTGTTTGTTTTGCGTCCTCTGTTGGTATTTGTAAATTGCTGAGGTAAAGGCAATAAGTCCCAGCTAAAAGAGCTTCCCGAGGGCAAGCACCCACTTCTCTTCCCAAGGTGTCCTGCTTGTATCCTGCTCAGTCTAGCTCCATGCTTTGACTCCTCCAGAAGGATCCTGCTTTTTAAAAAACATTTTAAAAAGAGATTACTAGTCTACTAATGGCTATTTGTTACAACATTTGCAAATGTAAACAAGTGAGTTGCATGTAATTAGTGCTGGGGCACTTTTGGGCACTGGAATCTCCTTCACCTACAATATCTGCTTCTAATCAGCTAAACAGTTAACTGGAAGCCTGTTTAACATGTGCAATGATAGCATGACAACCCATTACCTGCAGAATATTTTTTTGTGGTCAAAAAGTGTATTCGAAACCAGATAGGGCCTCATCCTCCTCTCAGCATCACATCCTGCCTGGAAGTGGTGTCACTCCAAGTGCCCACAGCTGATCAGGATAAGCCAAATGCTGCAGCATCCGGGGCCAGCTGGGTTAGGCAGGGTTTATAGCTGGGCTCTGCCCTGGGGCTGTGCTTCTGAGATGCTCATAGGACCATAGCCACTTCTGCAGGGCCAGGTGTGGAGAGGCAAGTCTTCTGACAAGGTGAGACACATCACCCTTTCTGTATTTCATTAAGTTGAAGCACCAGCTTCTCATTACAAATCTGTGTCTTTGCTGTCTTTGGAAATGCTCTTCATCCCTGCAGTGCAGAAGCCTCTGCACTTCCAGGGTGGTGGTAGAGAGTGAGGTTTGTGGTGGGTTTGCTGGCTGTGTTCTTTATTTTGTAAGACAAAGGCACCAGCTGAATCCTCTCGAGTAGGCACACTTGTGTTTTAGAGTAAAACACTGCATTTGATGTGAATGGAGTGGGAGGTAACTTCCAGAGTATCACAGCCTGGGCTGTTGTGTTCTCAGTACTGTCTGTGCTGTCTGTTCTGGTCCAGTGCTACAGCTCTCCCTCCTGTGCCTGCTTGCAGCTGGAGGGGTGATGCAAGAGAATTTGAGCTGCCTTTATTATGCTCTCAAGAGGGATGGAGCAGGCACCTCACCCATAGCTTAGTCTCCTCTGTCCTGCCTGGAGGCTGTCTTCTTCTGACCAGCTTACTTTGCAAATTGCTTTCTGGGCACCTGGTGCTGACCCAGGCTTCCTCCTCCCTGGGGCATCTCTGTGTGCTGGTGCCCCAATGCAGAACCAGCTACTCTGTCAGAAGTCAAATGGATATTGCACCTTTTGGCAGGGTTAGAGCAGCAAGCACTTAATTTCCCTGCTTTAATTTTCCAGCAGTAACTTTGTCATGACCCCAGTTTCCTAATCCATCCTATGCAAAATTGCAAGCAAGCTCATCATGTCGTTTATGTAATTTAGGGAAGAGAAGAAAACAGTTTCAGTTTTGTGAAACTGAGACTGCACCTTCTCAACTGTGCTACAAGAAGTTAGAAAACACAGATACTTCTCTGAACAGGGTGGAAGGGTGGCTGGGCAGTGGCTGGGATCTTGCTCATTTGCTGAGCCACGAGTAAAGCAAGGTCCTCGCTTGCTTCTGCTCCTGTCAGAGCTTCCCTGCTCTCCCACTGTCTCCCCACTGTCCCCGGCCACCCTGTCACCCCGCTGCACCCTGCCCTGGCAGCAGGCTCGCTTTCAAGGTCACCGGGCGGTCAGAGGTGTCACCTGTGCCAGGCCGTGATCCCCTGGCAGCGCTTTTGCCCAGCCTGTTCCATTCTCACCTGCCAAACCAAGGCTGATTTAAATTTCAAGCGAGCACAGTGCCAGCCTGGAGATGGAAACAGGCCCAGGCATCACCTTTACACAAACACCCTTGTGCAATAGCAAGGGTAACCTGCAGGCAGCTGCAGCCAGGCTGTCTCAGGGTCCTGCTCTTTGCAAAATCCCCACCAAAGCACAGCAAGGACAAACCCAGAGCTCAGAGCACATGTCCAGCAGAATGGAACCCAGCAATTGCTCAGACAGCACACTAAACCAGCTCTGATCTCTCTGTCACAGCTTCCCAGCCTTTTCTGCTTGTGTTCAGATCCCCAGCAATGACCCAGTACCCACAGGGAGCAAGAGCAGGCCAAAAGTAATCCGTAACTGAGGAGCAGTAGTTAAAAATCCCAGTTTTTTCCATTTCAACTCTTATTTAAAAAGAAGACCCCAGTTCAAAAGATGTTTAAAAACTGTTCAAAAGTCCTCACCAGCAGCAAAGGTTTCCTTTGCCAGATCCCATGGCTACAGCAAAGGGTAAAAGCAAATTTCAG